CATCTACTTAACTGCAAATAATTGAGATTTGCATAACTCACAATCAAGATGTAAATGCAAATTGATATTTTTGTTGATTTCTCTCTGTCTCTCTCCCTCCCTCACCCCCTTTCTCCCCCATCCTCCTTCTCAGCTCTTTTTTCTATTAGTTAGCTGATTTTTGTATCTGGAAAGCCTGTATCTATACTTCTAAGAAATATACACTATAGTTGATTTTAAGTGTTTAAAGTAGAGATGGTAGGATTTTGTCCAAGCAGACTAAGTGTACTAGGAATTGAGGTTCTAAACATGTTAGGATGCAGACTAAGAAAGTCTGCCTTAAAATTATTTACATTTGGCCAGAAAGGCAAGAACTAAAGAATGCATGAATGACATATCATAGTATTTATTTATTTAAAAAGTTATCAGGGAGGGAAACAGTACTTTCAGTTACCAATTATATTTTTAATACTTTTAGTTACTAATAATTAGGGCCGGTTCTCTTTAATATCTTCATCAATGATTTGGGTGAGCGGATAGATGGGGAACTCGTCAAATCTGTATATGATACCAAACTGGCAGGAATAGCCAACACTCCACAAGATAGGCTTAAGATTCAGAAGGATCTTGACAGCCTTGATTATTAGGCACTATCTACAAAATGAAATTAAATGGTGAAAAAAATAAGGTTCTTACATTTAGGCAAGAAAAATCAAATGAACACTTATAATAGTATAGGTAGTACCTGGTCAATATAGTAACTGTAAGAGGGATCTTGAAGTCCTAGTTCAAATATGAGGTAGTTGTGTGCTGCAGCTGCCAAAAAAGACAACACCATTCTAGGCTGCATTAACAGAGGAATAGAATCAAAATTATGTGAAGTGTTAGTTAGTATTGGTTTATAATGCCTTAGTAAGACCACTCCTGGAATACTGCATCTAGCTTTGGTTGCAATGATTTACATAGACATTGAGATTCTAAAAAGAATACAGAATAGGGGAATAAAGATGATTAGGGACTGGAAATATATAAAGAATGGTTGCTGGAATTGGGTATGATTAGTTTAATGAAAAGAAAGACTGGGGTGACATAGCAGTGTTCCAATATCTAAGGGGTTGTCACTAAGAAGAGGGACTCAACTCATTTTCCAAAGCATCTGAAGGCAGGATAAGAAGCAATGGATGGAAATTAATCAAGGAGAGAAGCAACTTAGAAATAAGGAGAAATTTCTTGACAGCTGGAACAATTAATCAATGGAACAACTTGCTTCCAGAAGTTGTAGATGCTCCAACACTGGAAGTTTTTAAGAAGAAATTGGACAATCATTTGTCTGAAATGGTGTAAGATTTCCTACCTGAGCAAGTGGGTGGACTAGAAAAACCTCCAAGGTCCCTTCCAACTCTATTTTATTCTTCAGGACGCTCAAAAGTTTATAGTACCACTGAGTGAATGGAGTTAGTTACAGTTTCATGATTCAGACTAGGACTGTGAAAACCACTAGATTGAAATGAATCATAAGAGTATTATGAGGTTTTCATTTATTTAATAAATTATTTAATATTTCTCCCAATGGTGTTTTCTATATCCTAAAGTGAGAAACATTTCACTCAATGTTATAATTACTACATGGCTGCTAATTAAGAACCCCATAAGAATTTTTCTTCTCTGTGCCTTCTACTACATACTCCACACTGTCACATTGTACAAAGTGTTTGTCAATTCCTATGTTCACCATGGTGGTATTACTCATCAGAGAGATTATAGAATGATGGATATATGCAACATATAACAACAAAACAATATTGGCAATAGCATAATTTGTGCCATTTTGCAACAACAAAGTAAAATCCAAAATGCTTTAAAGTTTCTTCGATGAAGTCTGATTGCCTCTTGATGAAGATGAAAAAAGTTTCAGGAAATGTAAGACAGATATTCTATAAATAAGACTGTTACAATTTCTCATCTAAGGGCAGATGATTAGATATGGTGCCTATGTGCTAAATTCAATAGGGAACTCAGGTTTATTCCAAAGTTATCTATCTATAGGAGCATTAGAAGCCAAATCTGAATGAATGATTAGTTTCAGTCTTCAGCAGGGATGGTTCTTCTAATCATTTCCTGATTTTGTTTTGTTTTGTTTTGGGCTCACATGTATCCTATGAAGAAGAGATTTTAAGTAGTGCTATAGCCTAAAAGAATGTTCTTTTAATACAAAACTTTAACTACTATGAATTCCAGTAGATAAGAGCTGAAAAAATGAAGAGTTTCTCTGCTGATTTAGTTATCTCATGAAAAACTAAAATATATCAAAAATTTCAAATAATAAAATAGATCCTTCCCCACTCACCTAAATGTTTCCTAGAATTTGTGTTTATTTTATTTTCTTTGTTTAATGAAGGTACTTTACAAGAAAAGATTAGGTGCGGGCATAACAGTAGCAGAGACCCCTGTGACTGAACATGTAAAGAAAAATCAGAAAAATATTAGCACAGTAAGTTTGATTGGTACTATACATTGTGTTGCATGAATAGTAAAAGTTGTACTAGTGATATTGTTTCATGCTGTGAAATAAAATAGTGCACTAGAATTAGAGACCCCAAATACAGATATTTTTGTATATCCATATTTGAAATCCTGTAATAATTTGGTACAGAGAAATCTTTCTTCTCAATACTGCTATTCTGAAACTACTTTTCTAAATTTTCTAAGTGCTTTAGAAGTATGAGTTTCTAAGTTCTTTATAAGTTTCATTACAATGTTTTCACCTTCAAGTAAATTAGATTTATGTTAGCAATATTTATGTATGTTAATATTTTGCTTCACCCCTCAAATAGTGAACCAGAGAAAAAGCAATCTTTTTATCCTTTAGTATGCAGTATTAATAATCTTGAAACAAAGTGGCAAAAGGGAATTTAACTATCAAATGTTGTTTAATGCAATGCACTATTTAACATGGTTCAATCACAGGTTATATGTGTTTTAATCATTAATTATCAGGTGTGCTATAAAGAGCAGCTTGGTAAAGGTACTTCAGTGAGTGTCACTCCTGAAATGGAAAGAGTCAAGAAGAATCAAGAAATTATCAGCTCGGCAAGTCCTTTGTCTCTTGTTTCTTTCGGTTGTTTTGCATTAATGAATTTGTCTGTTTGATCAAGAATGGATCCTTCCTTTTTGACATTTTAAAATAACTACAGAAAGATGTTCTCTGAGGTTTAATCTTTCTTTATAACATTCATTAGCCATTCAAATGTTATGAACTGCAACTTATCTGATCATTGATATTCAGGTTTTGAATGAACACGATTGCAGTCCTACTGATGATAACAATAATGTTAATATTTTCAAAGGTTAACTGTGTTCAAAATATTTCTGTGTAATGATATATTTTACAGGTCAAGTACAGCAGAGATCAGCAGAAAATGAAAGGTAGACCTAGCGTGATTCTAGATACACCCGAGTTAAGGCATGTCAAAGAAACGCAAAACATCATCTCAATGGTAGGGTAGATTTTTCACATAAGTAGTATGTTCTAAGAAACAGTATTGTGTTGTACACCGAATTAACAGAGAAAGCTTTGCACACACTACTGAAGTGGGAATTGATTTCTTCTTGCACTGTGGTTGATGGAGTAGAGTTGCTAACAATGTAATTCCCCCCCTAAAATACTAATTAAATGATTTATCTAATAATTCACTGAGTGGCTTTTTAAACACATGTCACATGGTGCTTTTCTTTCCACATCCCAGATTAACAGGAGAGGATGACACACACTGCCTTGTGCCTGTGCATGTTAGAGGTTCATGTGTGAAAGTGAAATTCTGAATGTGGTTGTTGTGATTGTCTTGCAAAGTTATGCATATGGATTGTGCAGAATATATTATGATCTTGGAGAAGGGTTGAAAAATTAGAGGTTACTCTCCTTATTTGTGGGTTCTGTTCCAGTATATAAAACCAGTAAATAACAAAGTCATAAGAAATAAGATATTGACTCTACAGGAATTGGGGGTTGGGTTTGGGAGACTATGACCATTCTCTCTTCCTCTCACAAGCTTTATAAAATTTTATCCCCTACTTTTTCTGCGGCAATGCACCTACATGTGCTCATCTTTCTCATCACTTGATTGTGACAAATCTTGTTGGATCACTACTGTTATAAAATTTCACACTGTGACTGGTCTGTGTTAGCATCCAGTGGTGCAAGTGAAAGGCCTCTCTATTAATATTGTGAGGGAGACAGACTTTGCTGCTGCAAAGAAGCCATATGAATTATTGTGATTTGCTGTCTATATAGGATCCAGGAAAAATAATGTAGGAATACTGAATAGATCACCTAACTCTTATAAGTGTTCTTTATGCATACACAAAAACCCTTTTGTAATGTTTTTCCATCTGTAAAGTAATAAAAATAAGGTCCAATTTGCAACATGCTGAAACTTTACATGTTTATCAAAGACTGATCTCTCTGGTTTAGTCATAGATATGCATAATGGAAGATATCAAGAGCTACCTGTATACAGACTTTTTAATAGCCGGGTTAGCTTTGGTAATTTGTGGATTAACAAGAAGCACTATTTGTTTAATATCAACACTTGCATGAGAATGTAATTGATTGTGACTATAATGATGCAATTACTTAAAATATTCTTAAAGATCAGCACTGAAACTGACGTATCAGTTTCTGATTCGGAGAATCAGAAGAGATCAGCACTGAAACTGACAAAAATTGCATGTTGATAATTAACCACTTGTGTAATATGCAATAAAATGGGATATTATCGCTGGCTGATGGAATAATATATGCCAAGTGAATCTGTTATCCCTTTCTTTTGTATTCTCTGTAGTCTCTATTAATGACCTACTGGAGCCAATTTGAGGAGAATTCAGGGGAAAAAAAACAAGAAGAACATCTTTCTGCATGATAGAAATTCTGAATAATGTTGAATACAAGCGAAGGGCAATGCCCAATAATTATCAAGTATTCTTAATACTTGAATCTCAGACAATGTACATATTTTTTCCAGGTCAAATATCATGAAGATTTTGAGAAGACAAAAGGCAGAGGATTCACTCCGGTAGTGGATGATCCTATAACTGAACGGGTGAGAAGGAATACCCAAGTGGTTAGTGATGCTGCATACAAAGGTGTTCATCCACACATAGTTGAAATGGATAGGAGACCTGGAATAATTGTGGGTAAGTCACTTCTATAACTTTACCGAATCAGAAACACTTGTGTGGCCATCTCTAATTACACATTTTTTGGTGATAAGATGTGGTGGAATGTAATTTGAGGGTAGAAGGACAGCATTCCTGAGGAGCAAAAGACAGAGAAGTTTAGATAGTTTGAGTGGAAGGAAAATTGCCAGAACAGCTCCTCCCTAGAAGTTCTCTGAGTCTCTGATTAATGGTGTAAGCATTTCCTTACTATCTATATTTTCTATCTATCGGTAAGGAACAATACAGGAAATAGCTTAGAAGAATCTGCGTGTTTGTCTTAGTTTTTGAGTCTGACATCAGATAATTAATATAACTGAAATGCTATTGACACTTGCAGTTACATGCTTTTGTGTCATATCAAATTTATTTATCATATTAGAATGATAGGTCATTTGGGATTATCAGACAATAATTGTTTCCCAGAAAAGTGCTAATTGCAGTGCCCGCTAAAGTAATGAAAATATTAATTAATCCAATAACGAAAAAAAAATTAATCTATTATTAAATTGCTTGACAAGAGCTTAATTTTTTTAAAAAAATACACATAATACAATCAGTATTTAAATTGTTAATATGAAAGACCAATATTAAAACTATTTTAATAATGAAACTAATCACAGAACAAATTGCCATTTGACATTTTTTATAGATCAATATGAATGGAATTAAGTTGTACCATTTCAATATCTTGTAAGACCAGCACTTTATTGCTATAAAATATTACTTTACTTGGTAAGAAAATAGTCCATCTGTGTACCATGGTGAAAATAAATTTTATTTATTTTTTGGCATGTTACTAGTTTAAAACTCTTATCAGAGCATTTGAACAGTGTCTGATTATATTTACTTAACACTGAATTGGCAAGTAGTGAAAAGCTGAATAAGTTAGTAGTCCAATGTTTCTATAAATATACTGAATTAAGGAAGCTGCTTTAGAGACTAGTGAATTAGATGAAACTTTTTTCAATGTTTGTACTGTCATTGTCAATGTCTCTTTACACTTTCATTCTATGAATTTTTCATACACATATATGTAAGCATCTTACAAGTTTTATTTTGAGGGCTTTGTCTCATTTGCCAGTGAAAATTAGTTTGACATAGTTTTTTTGTGAAACATTAAAAACCATTTGTAACAAATTATTTTAAAACAGCAAGTTAAATCGATAAATTTATAGATACATGCGAAACAATGGTTTGCAATATGTCTTTTATGACTGGGGTACTATCATGGAGACAACACTGTCCTCAGATACCCTTGTGAGTTGGCATTTAAGAAGAGATAGATTTGGGGCTCACAAACTGTTACTGCAACTTGGCAGTCAACAGAGATGACTTCATATTATCATTAGCGTTCAATGTAAGAAAATGAAGACCTGGATAGGGTTATGGCCAAGCACAGTTTTGCACTGTTGTTTCTGAATTTGAATTGCAGAACATAAACAATGCTTTTATAAGAATTTGAAAGTTTCGTAGTATTTTTTTTGCAGACAATATGAATTTAATTATCAAAAAGAAAAGAGGCAGAAACGTATCATTTGCATACAGTATAATTTGTTTAGCTATAGGACAAGGCATATATAGTTCATAAATTTAGATACATTTTTAAGTTTTTATGTTATAGAATTATACCAATGAAGGAGATAAACATGGCTAAAATTCTGAATTATTACGGGAAGCAAATTATTTTGAAAAATATGGTTGCTTATGAAACAGCTTGTAGACCAGACATGTCACTCAAGGCTTGCGGACCAGATATGGTCTGTGATGTGTTTAGATCTGGCCTGCAAGTAGATTAGTAGTAGTAGGTGATTGAGTAGTTACCTTCTCAATTCTTTGGGTGTGTTATCAGTGGCAGCAGTGCCCTCTGCCTAAGAGCAAGTGGCTGGTGAGGGAATGAAAGAGAAAGGACGGAAAGTGCTGGGTCGTGTGTGTAGCAGGACAGTGAGCTGAAGCAGCAGTAGCGCTAAACAGGTCTGGGGGGAAAGTCAACTGGAGCTCCAGTGTTGCTGGGGCTCTGCTAGGGCCCTGGGATCAGCGTGCATGGCTCCAGCTGATTGGTGCTTCTGGCAGCCTTAGCTGTTGGCTGGTAGCAGCATGCAGCCTTGGGGAAAGGAGTCAGCTGGACCTGTGGAGCTGGCAGGGCTCAGCAGAGACTTCAGAATCAGTGCATGCAGCTCCAGCTGATGAGACTTGCATGCAAAGGCCAGCCAGGTAGCATCAGCCTCATGGGTGAAACAGCTGCATGGGTAGAAAATGCTAGAGCTCTGCCTGAGCTCCAGAGAGGGATGTGCCCAGAAGAGAGAAAAAGATGAGTCAGGGAGAGAGGAGAGGAGATAAAAAGAGGGGGTTTTAGCAGGAAAAGGAGAGGAGTGAGAAGGACAGAAGGCAATAGGGAAGAGAGGAGAAGCTTCTGTGGAACAAGCCTGTGGGAGAGAAGAGTTTGAGTGAAAGGGAGGCAAGCAGAAGAATCGACAAAGGAGCAGAGGCTGTGGAAAGAGACCCTAGTAGGCAGTGTAGGAGAGAGAGGAGGGGGTAGAGAGAGAGAAAGAGGAAAAAGAGCCGACCAACCACCTGAATACCATCCCATCATGTATCCACCTGTTGGAAGAGACTGACCACCACCTCATCACATGACCCACAGGCCCCTTATACCCCAGAAGACCTCACAGCATCCTACTGAGACTTAGATATAATGGACTCCTGAATTAATATGATACATACTAATAGTCTTACATGCAAGTGGCCTTTTGAGGGCAACCATGATGTTGATGTGGCCCTCAATCAAATTGAGTTTATGCCACTGTTCTAGATTGAGATGAAAACTTGTTACTATTTTGACTACAAACAAAATATGAATCTACTTCTATAGCTGGAGTAATGAAAATAAATCATTGTTTGATACAAATAACTAGATAAAATCAATATACACAGGAAATTTGATATTGAAGATTGTTCCCCAGCTCTGTTTGAAAATAACTTAACGAATTCAGACTATGTTGACTGCTATAATAATGTCTTTTGATAATTAGAAAGTGTATGTTTCAGCTACAGCAAGTTAGCTACTGTCTTTCTAATAATAGAGCAGCTGAATTTTCTCCTTGATTTTTTTACCTATTCTCCTGTTGTTTCTTTTTGGGGGAAAGATCTCAAAGTTTGGCGCACAGATCCTGGCTCCATCTTCGACCTTGATCCTTTGGAAGATAATATTCAGTCTAAGAGTCTACATGTGCTTTTGGGTATTGTTTGATTATGGTTTTCTGCATTGGTTTGTTATAGTCCTGGAAGTAAAATTGACCTAGTAAATGCACTTGTGTGAAAATAACAGCATACTATAATTTTGTTTACTAGGACTGCATGAATATGAATACGAATATTTTTGCAAATGAATACGAATATTATTGCAAATGAAATTTCACTTAATGAGAACTAATTCACTTTCACTTAGTGAGACTGATTGGAGATGATGTCAGATGTAGACCAACTCATTAGATTGGCATCAGATTGTAAAAAAAAAAATGGCCTGTTGGGATTTAATCATTTGCCCAGCTTCTATAGCAATATAAAACTATTTACAAATTGTATGATTCCAGAAAGTCTTTTGTGCCATTGTTCCATATCACCTTGCTTGAGTCACAAAGTTTTATTGGGATTCACATGGTTGATGTTTTCTATTTACTATATGTTTTCTATTTTTATGTTTTCTGTTGCTGTTTTCTTCTGTTTTCTGGTTAGAGAAAAACTATTTGAGAGAAAAAGGGCAGCCAAGGTATCTTTTGACCAATAGCACTAAGTGAGAAAGTTTCACTTTAATGTTTAAGTATCTGTGTTCAAATATTATATTTTGTTCTTATTGTATGGAAACTAACAAACCTCTAGTTCCACAGAGTTAAATCCAACTTTCTTTCTGTAAGTTTGAATTCATATTTACACTTACCAGCAGTTGTTTATAGTGTCAAAGCAAATGAATATGGAATATTATATATAGTAAAATTATTGATAAGGTCACAAAAGATGAATTGTTAGATCTAAAATAGGCTTTTGAAAGATAATTCCACAGGTAAACAAAAGAAACAGTACCTCCATTTGTATAGCTCTCACCTTACTTGATTTAAATGAGCTATAAAAATTTGGTTTTTTCCTTTGGCCTTTGATGGCATGTGGTTGAATCGTTTTCTTTTTTAATTTGCTCTTCCTGATGACTACTGTCCCTTATAAACAATGGCACTAGGCCTCAATAATCTCTTTTCTACTTAAAGTATTATTGTGTGTGTGTGAGAGAGAGAGAGAGAGGGAGAGACAGAGAGAGAAAATATAATTGCTGTGAAAAAATGCTGCTTGATTGTATTTATTTATTTTTTAGTATTTTTAAAATAAAAGGTCCCCTTAATTTTATTTTAAAATTACAATACTATTTATTGCAGTATTGTGTTTTCCTTATAGAAAAAGCAAGACGTAGCCAATACCATTTGCATTCTACCAGTACTTCTGGCGTTGGAGATGACAAATCAGATGATTCTATATTTTCTTACTCCAGTGAGGCAACAAGGCTATCTAATGAAGGAGGAGGTATACGGAAGTATCCACCATTAACTGTCACTGTGTGCTCATTCTTTGCACATCTTAAAAATTAACTCAGCAATCTTCACTTGAATCTAATGAATCGACAATTGCATTAGATAAAAATATTTTTTTTTTGTTAATCTTGGACCTGGGTCATCAAGGATGATAATTACCTACTGTCTTTATACATACTTCTTAAATCTTGGTGGTTTTCAAGTACTATAGTTCTAGATTGTTCACTACTGATTTGGGTTCTCTATCATGTTATTTAATTGCCTATTAAATAGCAGAATTATCAATTGAATTTGAAATTGTTCACAGAATGGAATTTGCCATTGACATTTTTACCATTACCCATGTTTACCAAGTTAATTTGTGATACAAACACACTTACTTGAACACAACTCTTCTGTATACTTTCAAGCAAACTTTTGCAATCATAAAATCTAGAAACTAAAAAGGAAACAGATAAGTACGTTCTGCATATACTACAGTATGCTATCTCTATTTGTAACTTTCAGATAAAACATTAGCAAATGTCTACATATATAGGTAGTCCTTGACTTATGACAGCAATTAGGACCAGAATTTCCATTGTTAAGAAAGATGATTTTTTAGTGAGTCATGCCTGATTTTATGACCCCCCTTTTGCCATGGTTGTTAAGCAAATCATTGTATTTATTCAGTGAATCACATAGTTATTAAGTGAATTGTCAATGGTTGATTGGAAGGCCACAAAGGGCGATCACAGGTTTACCCGATAGTAAACTGGGTGGCCCATAAAATTTAGAAAGAAAGAAAGAAAGAAAAAAGAAAGAAAGAAAGAAAGAAATCAAAGCTCAGCAAATCAGCTCAAAGTGACAGAAATTTTATTTTTTAAATGTGCCCTTCTGCATCAACAGGTTACAAGAGCATGCCCAGAAAGCATGCCCGGAGCAAAATTCTACAAAGCAACCAAAATAACCAAGTAGTCTTTACATTTAACTGTTTTATCAATATTTCTATAGAAAGCACAATATTGCATGCAAACACACCCTTCCTTTAGTTGTCTGGATTGTACAGCATACAATACAACTTACATGCAACATACATAATACTAATAGCACTTAGACTTATATACCATTTCACAGTGCTTTACAGCCCTCTCTAAGTGGTTTATAGAGTCAGCATATTGCCCCCAACAATCTGGCTCCTCGTTTTACTAACCTAAGAAAGATGGAAGGCTGAGTCAACCTTCAGCCTGGTGAGATTTGAACTGCCAAATTGCAGGCAGCCAACAGTCAGCAGAAGTAGCCTGCAGTACTGCATTCTAAGAATTTTTAAAAAATCAATGAAAAAGTAGGTAATCTGGAAGCAGTCTTTGTATTTTATTGCCATATTACTTCTCGTTTCCCATATAATTCCATATAGTCTAAATTAGCAGCAGCCAGTTCCTATACTGGCTTGGCTGGGAAAAGCAAAAAAAGCCAAAAGCCAACACAAGCCACTAAAAACCAAACAAAAAATGCTGCACTTGAAACAGTCAGAAACCACTGAAGTAACTACTGGTAAGACTTATTTCAAAATCCTACTATATTTAGCTCTCCAGGATAGCACTCCTTCAAGATCATAACAAATTGATATTAAAATACTTTGCATATTCCTCCTTACAGCATTTTGGACTGCACTCATTTGGATGAATGGGTGCAGTCATTATGGTTGAAATTATTGTACTATTGCCTTAGAATGATAGAGCTCCTAGATTTTTATTTTTACATTTCTGTGTCACCAAAGAACCATTATTCTCAGGATTCCACTTAATCAAACTTTTCAAAGGTCTCCCAAAGCCTCTCCTATAGGCAAAGCCTGACTTTAGTTCTTTATGTAATCTTGCGCACAGAGATGTTCTAAAATGTATGTTTTGAAAGAAGCCTGTTGCAAAAGTGAAGCGATTTTTTCAGACATGAAGCTATTGCATGAACTCAGAACGGGGCATGTCAAATTCTAAATGCCTCTCCTTGAAACCTGAAATATTATTTAATTAGAATTATGTCCTGCCTTTCCTTCAGGAGGTAATGGTATTAGCCATAGCCCTTCCTCTTTTTTCTCTCTGGATAATCTTATAAAGCAAAGAAGGTGACTAACCCACAGCCATTCATTGAAATTCTTTGATGGAGGCAGGATCAGAAGCTGTTTTACTTGAATCAAGTATGGTATTTTAACCATTACATCACACTAGATCTCTGAGTTTGGCCCACATGCATCACATGGTTTCTCCCAAGATAGATAGTCCTCAGCTTAGAACTCTAAAGGACCCTGTGCATTATTTATTTATTTATTTATTTGATTTGTCAATCGCTTAGAAGATAACAGGTATAAGTATAAACATAGTTTTGAATACATGAGATGGATACGTATAAGAAAAATAAAAATAAACAATAGGACAGGGACAGTAGACACGATTGGTGGGCTTATGCACCAGACCTCTTAGGAAAGGGGTGAGGTCAATAGTAGACAATCTAAGGTTAAAGTTTTTGGAGTAGAAAACACAGAGTCAGGTAGAGTATTCTAAACATTGACCACTCTGTTGCTGAAGTCATATTTTCTACAATCAAGTTTGGTGCGGTTAACCTTGAGTTTGTATCTATTGTGTGCTCTTGTATTGTTATGATTGAAGCTGAAGTATTCATTTGAAGGTAGGACATTTGCAATGTATGATTTTATATACTATATTTAGATTGGACTGAAGGTGGCATAGGTCTAGGTTTTCTAGGTCTAGAGTTTCAAGTCTGGTGGCATAAGGTATTCTGCAATGAGTAGAGGAGCGGAGAACTCTTCTTGTGAAATATTTCTGGATTTTCTCAATTGTGTTAATATCAGATACATGATATGGATTCCAGACTGATGAGCTGTATTCAAGTATAGGTCTAGCAAATGTTTTGTATGCTCTAGTTAGTAGTGTGATATTACCAGAGAAGAAGCTACGTAGGATTAGATTAACAACTCTTAATGCCTTTTTGGCTATGTAGTTACTGTGAGCTCTAGCACTTAGATCATTAGAGATGAGTACTCCAAGGTCCTTGACAGAGTTTGGATCCTCAACAAGGTCTTGACTATTCAGCTTGTATTTATTTTTTGATTTTTTTTGCCAATATGTAAGACAGAGCATTTATTTGTTGAGATTTGAAGTTGCCATTTGTTTGACCATTCTGATACATAGTCAAGGTCTTTTTGGAGGGTAGTAGTATAGTCTGTGGTGTTGAATAGCTTTACATCATCAGCGAAGAGAGTGCAGTTGCTCTTAATATGATCACAGAGGTCATTTATGTAGAGTATGAAGAGAGTTGATCCCAAAACACTGCCTTGGGGGACACCACTGTTGACAGGTACAGAATTTGATAGGACACTCCCAATTTTGACCATTTGTTGTCTGTTTGACAGGAATGCTGCTTCTTTTTTAAAAAAATAAAGTTTTATTGAGTTTTAACAAAACAAATAAAGCATCTTATTTGAGTACAGCATCGTTCTGGGTTATCACATTTCCATACCGACACAATTTCATATGCATATTCATCTTATGTATTCAACTTCATATCTTATTACTCTTTTTCCAACTTCTCACTATTTCTCCCTTTACTTCTCTTAATTTTTTTTTATGGTTATCTCATTTTCTTCTTATTCAATTGTATTTCTTTTACTTAAATTTCTATATCTTTTTATTTATTGTACTTATACTTTCGTCTGTCTTGTTTTACAATTTCATATGTTCTCTTCCAACATTCTTAAGAAGCAAAATTCCCCCTATGATTGCCAATCGAAGTGCAATACCTTTAAATCTTATTGTTATTATCATATGAAATCTCATTAAACACTGAATTTGTGCATTCTACAATTATAACATTCAAATTTCTAATATCTATTTTATATCATGTAGATCTCATCATTCTG